ACTATTCTTTGACAAGTATCTGCTACCATAAGGAAAACAAATAAATAGTCAATCTATTAATTTTATTTTTTTTAATTGAAAATTCCTTAAAAGACTGAGTGGGGTTTTCTTAGCTGAAATATATGCATTGTACTCCATTCTGTCCAACATACACTTCTGTGTCTTATTTAGGAATACTTCTTGCTATAGACAGCTGGACATACACTCTTCCTAGTAAACTGCCAGTTTTCAGCACAGAAATGCCTGAACTCACAAAGCACTTTCAGAGACACTGAAATCCTCCAGTGGGTAAGTCTGTGTGTTCATGACCTCCTGTGAAGAGTTAGACGTAAGATGATTCCTGATTCAGGAAGACAGCATTCTAATCAGAGTATAAGCGTATTTTGCTCAATTAAGGAAATACCCTACAGAAATGCTCATTTTGCCACAGTGTTATTTTTGAGTATTCAGTAATGTTTGAGCATTAAGTGATTTATCACATTCAGAATGGCCTTTCTTCATGACATGGTCCAGTTATTCTCACCCTTCAAAGCTCCGTGACTCGGACAGACATTGATGGAGCCAGGCACGCACGACACCACAGATTAATTCTACTTTTAAGAAATAAATATTATAGCTCCTTGGGGTTCTTTCCTACATTTAACAATGTTCACTGACAGAAAAGTTTTTCTTACCTTGAATCTAAATTATGGAAATAATTTAGTTGCAATTTTAACTCATTTTTTCTTGTTATGAATTCAGTGAAGATAAAAATCCTCTCCTATGCCCACCTATCAGTTCTGTAATCAGAGCTAGTATTTATCAAGTACTTACTTGGTTCCTCACACTGTAGCAAAAAGCTTCACACATTATCTCATCCAATCTCAATACCATGACTTAAAAGCGTTATGATGTTCCCATTTCACAGAAGAAACCGAAGCTTAGAGAGAAAAAGCTTTGCCCAGCATCTCACAACTAGCAAATGACATAGCTGAGACTCAGTTGAGGTTCTCCCTACTTTTAATTACAAATCAAACTGCTTCTCAAGAGTCCTTTCTCAGCCTTGCCTTGCCTTCACCTAATTTTTCTGAACCATTTAATTATCTCAACTCTACTTGAAAACCCTCTCAACATTTTCCAAATCTACCTTGCTGGGAAACAAAGATTAAAATTCTTAATAAGGATTATTTTATGGGTCTTAATTTCTAGATTCTTATTTTAGAATCCTAATTCCATTAATTCCTTAATAACAGTGTTCTATTACTGAATCATGTCTAATAAGCCATCACAACGTCAAGACCATTTCTAAGAACACAAGCTAATACTGAAATCTTGGTCAGTTTAAACAGCTAATGGGACTGCTCTTTTACACTTACTAGGTTATTTCTTTAAATAGACTTGAATATTCATTGGATATGCATAATTGTGACATTTACCAGCTTATAAAAAGAACTTGATTGAGTTTTTCTCCTCAAACTGGCAGGATTTAATGTAGTGTAATTATTTAAATTTTATAGAGAAACACATGTCAGGATAAATATGACATTATAAAACAAGAAAGGAGAAAAAAAATCTGTCAAATATCTTTCACCATAAATAACTAAATTAAGCCAGAAAATTAATTGCCTTTTTGAATAAGGTTTCATTTTATACTTAATTGACTTTTTTGTTAGACCATCTGGAAAATACAGCTTCTGATTTAGAGTAGTTGCATCATGGCTCACAACTCCTACATTTCATCACATGCATTCTGAGCACATCCCCATCTCTAATTTTGACTGCCCCCACCATCTCTCAAACACACACTTGCCTCCCCAAAATACAATAAACCAGAGGTGGGAATTATTAAACTCATGAATTTAGCAGCAACTCTTATAAGGAATCTTGGCTCGCCTTCAAATAATCTTTTACCAATGTGGCAATAGAAAGACCAGATGTAACTTTATGTGGTCAACTTCCCACAAGAATTTTTATCAATTCACAGATTAGCCAATAGTCTTGACTTCAAAGGGAAGACATATACTTTGGTGAAGGAGTGAGAGAACCCTTACAAAAATGATCTTGTGATCTTCCTCTTATATTACCAGTCATAAAACTTCTCCTTAACCTCTATCCTCATTCAATTTCAAGCCAAGAGAGAAACGGGCAGTGTCCAAAGATCTGTTAGTTACTCCAAGAGCCAACAAACAAGAAGGGCAAATGTCAAGATCAATGTTATTGTAAACATGCTGAACATCCTCCAGAACTGTCAAGTTTCTTCTCTGAAACAAACAAAAGCTTTGTTACTTTGCTGACACAAATTTCAGGCAGTACTTAAATTACTATTTTCACTGATACTTTTCTTTCTCTCTTCCAACTCTTACATTCTAAAACCAAAAGGCTTAAATTTTGTTGATTTGGTATAAATACCCTAACCAAAGTTAGAAACCAAAGCTATGCTGCATTCCAAATTACAAATTTTCCATCATCCAATATGTGGACAATTTATCCCAAGTAACTGTATAACACACAACTGTGTTACATTGGGGCCAAACTGCATTTCCGCATTGCATCTGCCTTAGATGCAACTCTGCTTATAGAAGCCGGAGAGTACTTTTACCAGACTCGTGAAATGCTCCTTCTAATGGACCCGGCCCCATTCTCAGAGCTCCTCTTCCAACAGAGCCCAGTTCCCAAATACCAGTTATGACACCCTAAGTAGACTGTGTGGAGTCAGCTCTCAATAGGTGCAGTGTGTGTGACCAGGAGACCCTGGGAACACTCCCATCACCAAGATTTGTCAAAAGTTCTTCCAACAGTACTTGCAGAGGGCCCATAATTTCAAGGACTTCTGCAGAAACCCCATCTCTGGGCTTGAAATTCTCTGGAGCTGGGGAGTCTATATAACCTTAGAGAGCAGGATTCTAGTGGTTCCATCAGGAAACACTGAAGAACAGACCCACAGGGGATCCCTAGGGCTCTGGCTGGTAGCATTATGGTTCTTCATCAAGAAGTCAGGCTTGGGATGCCATGGATTTGTACCTGAAAGCTCACCACTGCAATATTTGGTAAAGATCTTTTATGGTAATTTGATCTTATCAATACTCTTCCAAAAACTACCTCTGGTTCAATTCCAGTAATATCGGCATTCCAGGTGTTTTTATAATCATCACTCTTTCTAGATATTTTCCTAAACTGAAACAGTGATACAAATTTCCACTTTACTGAAAGAGCAATAAGCAAATGTGTTTCCTAGAGTCAGATTCTCCTACCAAACACCTTCTACTGTCTTTTAAAAATCAATTAAAATAAAAGGAAAAGAAAAAGCTCTAGTTTTGCATATATCAATCCCAGTTTAAATATTCTGTATGCTTTCCCTTTGCCTATACACACAAAAATGAAAGTTGTTAGCATCTGAAGTTTTGGTTTAGAAATTACGTTTGCCAATCTTTTTTTTTTTTTTTTAAGTCAGTTTCTCACTCTATCACCACGCTGGAGTATCACCACGCTGGAGTGCAGTGGCACAGTCAGAGCTCACGGCTCACACAGCCTTGACCTCCTGGCCTCAGAAGATCCTCCTGCCTCAGCCTCCTGAGTGGCTGGGATTATAGGTGTGTGCCACTACCAGTGTTAGATAAGAGCAACAGTAAGAAAGTTAGAAAACCACACCGAGCCGGGCTCGGTGGCTCAGCCTATAATCCCGCGCCTTTGGGAGGCTGAGGTGAGTGGATTGCCTGAGCCTGCGGGTTCGAGACCCGCCTGGGCAGCGAGACCTCATCTCTACAATAAATCAAAAAATCAGCCGGGCGTGATAGCGCATGCCTGTAATTCCGGCTACGTGGAAGGCTGAGGCGGAAGGATCGCCGGAGCCCAGCAGGTCGAGGCTGTGGTGGCCGGGAGCGGCCACTGCACTCCAGTCTGGGCAACAGAGTGAGACTCCAACTCAAAAAAAAAAAAAAAAAGAAAACCACACCGAAGTAGCCTTCTTGAAAGCAAATCTTCCTATTAAAAATTAGTCAAGGCATAAGGAAAATATATTGCTTATATTCTAGCATTTAGGCTATCAGGTTGTTTGTTCACTTCATAGAATCATAAAATCACAGAATTTGAATGTTGAAAAGAACAACAGAAATTATCTAGTCTAATTTCCTCACTTTACACGTAAAAAAATGAGATTATCCTTTTTATGTGTATTCAAATAAAATTAAAAATATAATTCAATTTAACAGTATATTTATACATTTAGGCTTCTAAGATACCTGTTCATACAAATTAAAATCCATTTCAAAATCATAGAAACTTCTACTCTCTGTGCCTTTGTAATAAAACTGCACTGTGCCCTATAGATGACATTGGTACTACAGAACTCAACCTCGTCTTTAAGAATCTCACACAGGTGAAGGAGAAATGAGGACACCCAAATCAACCAGACTCTTGGCAACTTAAAAACAAGGGCTATAATTTAACCAGCTTCAATATCCCTAACAACCAGCAGAGAACCTATCACACAGCAGGTGCTTTTTAATATGTTGACTGGCTTACTGTGTTTAAGGTGTTGATTAGTTGAATGAATGAAAGAGGGCCCTGGATGCGAGTGTAACAAAGTAAACAGGAAGAGAAATGGGCAAATCCCTGCTGGGCGGGGATTATTCAGATGGACTTTGGGGTGTTTATCAGTACTTGAATTCCCAACGGTTTGTCATCACAGAATTTTTACCTGAAGTTCTCACCAGAATAGTTACCACCCTGACAGCTTTCTATTCTTAATGCGCTAAAAGTGTGTTGGACACCGCCCAAGAGCAGCACGCCTGTAAGAAAACCTGCCATTAACTGAAGACATTTCCAACCTGCAAGCCAGTTACCCACCCCTCCTTCCCTTTCCACTTTAATTTGAGCTTATTTTGCCACAGAATCATATGGTTATGTAAACAAAATGTTGCTGTTTGGAATCCAAACAAGCAAGAAGGCTTGCTCCTGCCCATGTGCTTTTGGTCTTTCTTGTCCTCAGCACAGACGAAGCTAGAGCAACACAGGAGTCTTACCATCCAGGTGATCCACGTAGCAGTACACATCGTAAGTTTCCAGGGGAGAACGGAACCCGTAGGTCCTGACGCCTTCCTTCCCCATCATGTCTCCATAACAGCCTTCGCGGGGAGCCCGGATGGGGTATCTGAGGAAATAAGTGGCTAATTAGTGGCACTTTCTTCCTACTTTCAAATCAATGAGTTAAAAGCCTGTGGCCCCCAGACGTCTCACCTCACAGTCTGATCGGACAGCCAACCCGCGTCACACTGCTCAAATCCATCATCGTAGGCGGCCAGGAGCTGCTCTGGAGTGGCTATGACTGCCCCAATATCCAAACAAGCCTTCTTCGCAGCCTCAAAGTTCAGAGTGTACCTGCTGGTCGCCGCCCTGTAGTGAAATACAACCCCTGCAAAGACAACAGCAAACAGTGATGAGCATGTCCAAGTCCCCCTCAGCTTCCCACCCCTGCCATCTGTACTCTGACAAATGTCTCACTGAAGCATCGTAGCAGGTTGATTAGTCAAATAGTGATAACAGCATGAACACTATCTTTACTTTCTGCAGCATTATGGAAAATCAGGTTGGTGACAGGAGCTTCCCAAATGCCATTCATCCGGGTGTCCCATTCTGTTCCACTAGAAAGTTTCTCAGTCTTTTAAATCCAAGAAAGAAATTTAAGTCACTAAATCCCAATCAGGCCAGCTGTCCTAATTGCAGTTAGTATTCAGGCTATCATGGGGACACAAGGCACCACAAGGCAGTAGATTCTGGAGAAGATTTCGAGTTAAAGGGCCACAGATCCACTTCTACTTCATGACTTCATCCAAGGCCAACCCAGTGGATGTGCATGAAACATTCACCTGTCTCATGAAGATATTCACAGACACCACTACCCCCAAACATAAAACACTGAGATCTTTACTTTCAGAGACAATATGCAAGGGTGGGAAAGAAACTGACCACATGTAGGTGAGAAGACTTGCTCCCATCCCTAGTTAGCTCCTTATTTATGTTCAAGTCGTCAAGCTCTCTGAGCCCTAATTTCCTCCTCCATAAAGTGGAATTAATTTTGTTTTTGTTATTAGATTGATGGGAAGGTCAAATTAAGTAAAGCATTTTAAAACGGTGGGCAGATAACCATATCTTATTCAAATATTGATCACATTCTTTACTTAACCAGCATAGCACAAGGTCTTTGCTATGACACATAAAATGTGTCATATTTTTTTAAAGAAAACCCGAAATAAGTTCTCCAGATTCCCCCTGGAAGAAGCTCCTGTTACTTGTCTCAAATTCCACATTGTGGCATTTTAGGGGTGATATGAACTAGTGATGTGAATGTGCTCCGGGGCTCAAGAACCTGTCAAGGGATGAGGAGAGAGCCACAAAGGGGTGGAGCTTTGGGTACTCTCTTCCCATTTTAACAAAAGCATCTCCATTTTTAGCTGTAACAACTATGGTGACTCATTTCTGCAAGACAACACAGTAGATCAAACTAATGTGCCAGGGACATCACAGAAAAAGAAACCGAGGCGACCCGGTCTTATGAAGGAGATTTTATTGAGTCATTTCACTTAAGGACACTTTTCTGTTATTTGGAATGAATTGTGGTTTCCAAGCTATGCGCTACTTTCCTCTTTTTCCTAGTAATTTCCTGGAGTTGACAATAGTCTATCTTCCACAGCCTGGCTCCTGGCTATGACTGTCTCCCACGTGTCCACCCCTAGATTGTCTCTCACTTCCAAGATAGGTTCGTGCTACCAAAGCAACTGAGGGGAACAGACCACCATCTCATAGATAAGTAGTTCTTACCAATGGGAACACAAAAAGACCTGCATAAACACTGAGCACATGCAGTGACAGTTAACATTTATTTTCCCATTTCTGATCTTTCATGATTCAAAAACAATTATTTGCCAAAAAAAAAAAAATCAAATGCCAATTTATAACTTTATACATTTAGAACCTCTCTAAAATTGACAGGAAGTATATATGGTGCTATCTGGTAAGTATAAGAGATAGCCTAAAATGATCTCTAAAGCTTAAGAATTTGAATGGTTTTAGATTAGTTTTATGCTAATCAAAGCTTCAAATAGTCTTCTTGGTAATTAAAAATCTTCCTTGCACACTGAATATTGGCAGAAAGGGGGCACAAAGGGGCCTCCTTGACCGAGGCAGGGAACTTCAGTCTATGTAAGTATCTGCAGTTGCTGGAATAATTTGAAGACCCCATGGAGCTAAGGAGATTAAGCAGAGGATTTCCATTGTTTCAGAGGGCCAAGGGGCAAATCCATTGCTAATTCTTTAATGATGAAAAATGGTAAGAAGTTGTTAAACTCCCTTGGGGATTTAAAAAAGTGATATATAAACAAGAGAGAGAGAGAGAGAAACAGAAATCACAGTAGTACAATCAGAGGCTAACGCTATATATTTTAAAAAAAGATAAAAAGAGCCCAGGATATTTAGTGGATGCCTGGACAATATAAAAATAGATTTATAGAAGGAAGCAATCGAATTTGAATGTAAAAGAGTGTTCAGAAAGTTAACTTGTTGCATCTGAAATTCAAAGTATTTCCTTTTGGCTACACAAGAAAGAATTTTAATAAAACCCTTTGCATATATTTCTGAAAGGTAAATATTTTATAGGGAAATGGACGGTTGGGAGAAAATCTGTTCCATCATGTCTGGGTATTAGAATTTTGCTTAATAACTTGCCAAAATATTATGCTTCCAAGAGCTATGGCATTATGTGTGTACCCAATTAAAGCAATTTTTCTTTGCTTTGTCTCCCAACTTAAATTCAAATGACATACAAACCACCCCTGAAAGGAGGGTGAAACTAAAATGTTTCATTGTAAGACTTAATGGAGAACAACTAATGTATTCACCTTTAAAAAAATTACTAAAATTCTGTTTTTGCCCCATTCAAATATGTAGTGAGTCTTGGCCTTTTTAAGTTACAATGATATGTACCATGATTTTTATTAAGTAATTTATTTCTTCAATGTAAGTTAAGATATAACTTACATTTCTTTAAAGCAAATGCAAATATTTTAATAACCATACTAAAAAGTGAGAGAAAAGGAAGAAAAAGTTTTCACACACACAATCAGTACATGTATGTGTGTATATGCATACATATATATGTGGAATTAAAACAAAATGCAGATCAGCCTTTATGCCTTGAAAAATAATCACTGCTAAGTCTCCACAGTGCAGTGATGGTTACTGAACTGCATGCCACACCTTGAGGTGTTGGGTATTTTCAGTCTCCTATACTTCATTACATGGAATCAATAAAGTTGTTGGGGAAACCTCAACTGCCTTGACCTCCAAATCAGGAACCCTTCATTTCCGGTGGAAAACAGGGACTATTGGTCTGACGGGTATTTTTTTTCCACTTGTCCAAACCCCAAGCAACAGCTACTTTTGAGCACCATTTCACAACACTGGTGACCGTGTGCCATGTTATTCCACCTTCCTGTGGACCCTGAAAGCCTTACCGTCCACAGTCAGGGACATCGTGTCTTGAGTGTCCTCGATGCCATACATGACGTCGCAGCGGTAGAGGCCCGCGTCACTGGCCAGCAGCTTGCCCATGGTGAGGGAGGCGTCTCCCACGACCTCGGGGTGTATGGGTACAGACACTCTGCCCCTGTAGTCTTGACCAATCTTGATATTCCCATTTTGGGCCACAAGAACAGTAGTCTCCTTTAAATCTTTCCCACTTTTGTCCACTTCAATCTTAGACCATTTGATTCGGAGGAATTCACTGGTGTTGTAACTTGGTGGTAAAGTAGGCATGGTTGGAAAGTAGCAAGGTAGGCTGACTTTTCCAGAAAGGGAGCCCCTGACAGGTGGGCTTTTGTCCACTTTGACTAGAGAAAAGAGAAGATGCCAGGTTAACAGTCTGGAAAAAAAACCCATACTGACTCTATTAAATATTTGAATGGATAACAAATCCTTATAATGGTTTGGTTGCATCTTCAATAAGTGAAATCATGAGAATGATTTTGTATAAAGAGGAGAGCATATAATTTCAGTACTGTTTTATAACAAAGACAAAGATTAATAATGCTCATATTTATGTACTAAAATATGTTGTTCATCTTAGAATATTTGCAACTTAGAAGTTTGACATGAGCAAAATAAGTAATAAAATAGGGCAAGCAATAGAAAGCCAGCAATCCAGGGCAAAGGAGGAAAGCAGACCTGAATCTTGGTAGTGCAGGTTTAAAAGAGGGACCAGTGTTAGAAAGAGCAATCAAAAGATGAAAATTATGCCTACAGGTCAGAAGATGAAGAACATGTGTTAAGATAACTGCCCCAGCCGGGCTCGGTGGCTCAACCTGTAATCCCGCACCTTTGGGAGGCTGAGGTGAGTGGATTGCCTGAGTCCGCGGGTTCGAGATCCGCCTGGGCAGCGAGACCTCATCTCTGCAATAAATCAAAAAATCAGCCGGGCGTGGCATCGCGTGCCTGTAGTTCCAGCTACTTGGAAGGCTGAGGCAGAAGGATCGCCGGAGCCCAGCAGGTCAAGGCTGCGGGGGCCGGGAGCGGCCACTGCACTCCAGTCTGGGCGACAGAGTGAGACTCCAACTCAAAAAAAAAAAAAAAAAAAGATAACTGCCCCATTACATTAGAGAAAATGCAAATGAAATTCAATGAGAAAGTAACAATTTTAAAAGTACTTCCTAAACCAGAGCCAAGGGAAGGCTAACATTTGAAGGACCCTCTTTGGTCCCATGTTAGAACCAAAGGCTTTCATTCTCATGACAAACTCAGCTGCCAAGGCTTGGCAGTGAGATGTTACCGCCAAGTATATTCTGGGGGAATGCCGGCTTCTGTTCACTTAACTCTCCTAAAATACTTACCCACAGAATATCTTTCTGTTCAAGCTCTTAAACTCTTAGTAATAAAGAATATGTTGGCTACAATTTACCACCATCACATGCAAAAGAAAATATTCCTTCACTCTTGTAAGTATCCATCCCTCCTCTACTCCTCCATACCTTCCAGCCACTATTAACTAGGCTAGACAAGGTGCTGGTAATATTAGAAACTGTCCTTCATGAAAAACAACAACCACTTCATGAAAATATGATCAATAAGTTCATAGTAGCCTCTAGGTAAAGTGAAATAACGATTTTTTTTTTTTGAGTCAAGGTCTCACTCTGTCACCTAGGCTGGAGTGCAGTGGCACAATCACCGCTCACTGCAGCCTCAACCTTCTGAGCTCAGGTGATCCTTCTGCCTCAGCCTTCCAAGTAGTTGAGACTACAGGCACACACAACCATATCTGGCTAACTATTTTTTTTTTTTTTGAGTTGGAGTCTCACTCTGTCGCCCAGACTGGAGTGCAGTGGCTGCTCCCAGCCACCGCAGCCTCGACCTGCTGGGCTCCGGCAATCCTTCCACCTCAGCCTTCCGAGTAGCCGGAATTACAGGCGTGCGCTACCACACTCTGTTGATTTTTTTTTTTTTTTATTTATTGTAGAGATGAGGTCTCACTGCCCAGGCGGGTCTCGAACTCGTGGACTCAGGCAATCCACTCACCTCAGCCTCCCAAAGGCGCGGGATTACAGGCTGAGCCACTGAGCCTGGCTTAACTATTTTTTTAAATGAGGTTGTTGCCCAGGTTGGTCTCAAACTTTGGGCCTTGAACAATCTTCCTGTCCTGGCTTCCCAAAGGGCTGGGATTACAAGTATGAACCACCATGCTGGGCCTGAAATAATGATTTTTAATTAGCAAAATGATATGTGTCTAACACTTACTGTGTTAGTGGTCAATGATATTGGTGACACACATCTCAATATGCACAAAAAATTATAATAGCTACCAACATAACACTGTGGATTCAGCTGGGGATAAGTCATTTTAAACACTGCAGGAAGATATTATGGAGAAAGTATAACCTTTAGGAAAAAAATACTCTCTATTGCTAAAGATTAAGATTTTAACTTAGTAAAAAGACTGTAAAATCTTTCAGAGATGACAAATAAATCTAAAATAATTAATACAGGATTCAATTTCATATATTTACAATAGAAATCACTAACCTATTTCAAACTTGTAACGGTCATTGCTGCCTGCATTTGTTTATCATTTTATTAATCTATATATAGATTGCTAAAACAGATCTAAGGCACTTAATACGATTAAATAAAAATAAAATGAAGTGTGCTATTAGCTGCACTAAATTGATCTTTAAAATGTTACTAAGACTATTAGCATTTTGGAATATAATAGCAAGGGAATAATTCCATTTTTAATGATATTCTTGGCTTACAAAATAAATTCTCAACTTGAAGTTCAGCCTTAAAGTAAAATTTCTTACTAAGGATAGTCTACTGAGAGGAACTGACAAGTTCCCAGCTGGCTGGTGACAGACCTGAGCCAGAGCATACATCTCCTGACACCTAATCAAGTAATCATTTAGCTATGGTGTTCTTCCTCTGCCCCTAAATTAAGTCACAAAAGAAGTCTCCATTTCAGTTCCTTTACAGAATCTAGACTCATTCTATTTCTGTAATTTTTTAATTACTGTCTGAACTGAAATCTTTTAGTAATTTTGTGATCTTTTCAATAAACTTACCAAGCTCACAGAGGACTTTCTGAAAGTAACCCCTACCTGTTTAATATTCCTTTAACTTGGGCCCTATTAGGGAAATGATGACAGCACAAAGATATCTCAATATTTCATTTATTGACTTTTTGGCCAATGATAGGGATTCTGAGAAGAGAAAGGGTGAGAATACTGTGATGTAAAAAAATTCACATTTATATTCATCATAAATTCTAGAAAATCTCATCTTCCTTTCTGAAAAATCATTTAGATAACTAATTTTCCCACAAATAAAATATTGCTTATTTAATGGGAAAATAAACAGCTTTATCATCTGCTTCAATTATGGTATAAATTATGAAACTGTGTCATCTCCTTAACATTAGCTTAAGATAAATGACTTCCAATTCTTTAATATTTATTACTAAATTATAGTTGTTTTCACAATTTTAAGTGTGTAAGGGCAGACATGAGACAGCATAAGCTATCCAGCAGGGAGGTTTCTGGAAGTGAGAGCATTACTAAGTAAATGTGCTGCAATGAAAAGATTCATTGAAACAAAAGGATGTCAAAAGGCAATTTCCTAAGGGCTATTTATTGTTCTAGATGTTTACAGATATAAGAAAATTAAAAGCTTTGGTTGGATATAAATATTTATTCATGCAGAATCCAATCTTAACAAGGTTAACAAAAAGTTGTGTGGTCAAATCTTTTGTGTATTAAATCTTGGGTCTTAATGCACTGGGTCACAAGAACTAAGTTCAATAAATCTAAATATTTTAAGAAAGAAATTTAGTCGTTCTGAGAATAACATTTATAGACTACACATGTTTTTAAAAAAATCTGCTACCTGCAGACATTTGTCTGAAACTGACAATTCAAGTAGTGAAAATGAATCCTAACAAAAAGCTCACTGTTCCCACCAGATGGTCTGTGGTCTAAATGAGTATAGTCAGGGAGAAGCTCTAAGTAGTGAATGATCAATTAATGCTCCTTCTCTGTCATAAGATTCTGCAGAGTAAGGATGATGCAAATCCCATCTGCACGATTTGACCAAACCCACACACGCAGGCTTTGGCCAAATAAACGTCAGATGGAGAATATGGAAATTTATCTCTCTCTCAAGTGGAAAATATCACTCTCTAGTTTATTCATTAACCATGATTGTGTATGGCTCTGTCTTCTGCTATTAGAGGAATAACAAGATAACTAGGTCAAGGCTAGATGATCAATGGTTAGGACAGGGTATAACCTAGTAAAATGGGTTTTGTTAACCCAAAGAGCTCTTCATGTATTGAAATAAAGCCAATAGCAATAGTTCATTTATGTTACTCACTGACCTCTTGATTGCCTGGCAATAAACAGAAAAAAACCTTACAGCGAAAGTCCTTGTGCTGACCCAGGAACAAGTGAGTGCTACATGCTCCACCAGGAACCTGGAAAATCTGTCTAACATGGATCTTATGTTTTCAATTTTCGCCTCTCATACAAAAAGTAAATTCCCTCAAATTAGTCCCAAATTAATTTTATCTCTTAACAGTGATCATGAATTTACAAATAATAGGTACCTATGTATAGGAATTACACAATATTATTGGCGATTATAATTATTTTTAAAAATACTGCAAGGGAGCTACACTATAAGTTGTTTTATTTACTTTTGTTTTTCATTATGTGAGGTCCTTCTTTGTTTTAAGTGCAAAGTCTAAGATTGCGTGAGGGGATGGTTGCCTCTGTAAACTCCCTTTGATTACTGCCCACCCAAACCAACCTCCCTCCCCACTTCCTGTGACTGTCTTCTCCTCTCTGTGATCGTCATCTTCACTCCCCAAAAACCTTGAGGAGGACAGCTCTTGGGCAGGTATCTGATTGCCTAGACTTTGATAGCCATCTGGGTCATTCACCATGGCATTCATTCATGCATTTATTCATTCACTCATCCAATCACATAAAATGATCGAGAGCTAACAGTGTGTCATTCAGTAGAAGACGAAAGGCCTTTCTTTTGGCAGCCTACAGTCTACTTGGGAAGAAAAATAAAGAGCAACTTATCACAAGAGCATAGTACGTGCTATAACAGCTGCACAGCACAGAGAACATGGAGAACATGGAGGCAGGGCTTTGAAAGTGGTTGGAAAGGGGTACAGGAAGATGGGGAAGGAAAGCAGAGCCATTCAGGATCAGCTCACCCTTCATTCCTCTTATGCCCCTGCTACAGATCCCCAGTCCATGAGGATCTGAATCCTCCATCTCCGTATGTCCAATTTGCTTCTCCTCATCATCACTACCACCACCTGACACAAATGAACCCAAGTCATGCACACGCTCCCACAAGAGCCTCTGAGACGATATCTTGATGGTGACCCTTGTTCTCTTACAATCGAATCTCCATAGAGCAGCAAAAACGAAAATTTCTAAATATCCATCAATTCCCGTCTTTCACTTGCTTAACCCTCCAGTGCCTCCTCTACACTTGGGATAAGATCTGGACTTCTCTAAAGCCTACAATGCCCCTTGTAGATAAGAAGTATAACATGGTTGTGAGGAGTGCACACTCCCAGAACGCCTTGTTCATCCCCCAGCTACAAGGGAGGACCCCCCAAAAACATGGAATTTATTTATTAAAAAATTATGTATTAGTCCCTACATGTTTAAACTTCAGTCACTTTCAAAGTACTCTCCATATGATGCAATACACCTATCAAGGTACTTTTTCCACTGTTCAAAACAATTTTTGAATTTATCAATGTTGATGCCTTTTAGTGCTTCTGCCGTTTTTTTTTTTTCATCTCTTCCACATGGGCAAAATGTTGCCCTTTACGGACATTTTTCCTCTCAGGAAATGAACAAACACAAAAGTCACTTGGGGTGAGAACAGGTGAATAGGGAGTATGGGGCACAAAAGTCATGCTGTTTTTGGTCAAAACCTGCTGAACACTCAGCACAGTGTGGGCAGGTTGTTTGTGTAAATCACCCATCATGAATTGGGCGAATGTGTTGAAAGAATCTCCAAAAAAAATTCAGTGAAGTCAAACTCAGTGTCTCACAAACAAGGCTAGCTGGTACACTGATGCCAATGGATTCCTGGAACACTTACCTAGTGAAGGAAGTCTGGACTACAAGAGGCTTGTCCTCCAAAAAATGATTTTGGTTTTTGTTTTGGGTTTCCCTTGTACTTAGCCTCTCAAGAACTCAATGCTCTCCCTTCATGCATGAGTGATGGATATTTCAATGAGTCCATGCTAAACACCTAAAACGGCTCCTGACTCACAGAGTCCTACTCAAATGTTAGGTATTATTCTTATTTAGATGAGCTTGTTTCTGTTAATCTCTCTGTCCATATCTTCTACTTTCCCCTTGATGTCTAGTTTCCAACTAAGTGGCCTTTCTGCTCTTCAAACACATGGCATTTCTTTCTAACTCAGGGCCAGGTCTTGGCTGACTTTCTCCTTGACACCCTTCTCACCTCAGTTTAAGTGTTATTTTCTCAAAGAGGTTTTTCAAACTTTCACAAACCCACATCATTCTCTATGATGTCACTCATCTGATGTTCATCAGTCTGAAAGGACCTGGATTTTCTATTCTCTTGTTTATTGCCTATATCTTAGAATTAGAGGCTTAAGCTTAACAAAAGCTAGACCAATGTATGAGTCAGTCAATGGTATATCCTTGGACATCCAGAATAATAACTAGCACAAAGAAGATATTCATAAAATGTTGCCAATGGGTAAACAAATAAATGGATGGGTGGGAGGATGGATGGATGGATGGATGGCTGTTAGATGGAATGACACTTAAAGTTTGAGTCTTAGAGAATGAAATGAAGTAGAGCTGTACAAAATAAGAGAAGTGCCACACAAAAGGAATTCATGCGGAAAACCAGGAAAGACATACACTCATACATATGCAAGTTATTTCCAAGAGTCTAAGGCATCATGTGAGTGTGAGGAAGAAACGGAGTCTGAGTCTGGAGGGTACACTAGACCAAGTAGATCCATGATGCTCAGGTTGGTATCTTACTTCAAATTCCTTTATATATCTCCTTGAACATATGACTTAGGAAACTTGGAATCATAGACCATCATTAGCTGGATAGAAAGTTTAAAGCTAAGAAAAATAGTGTCTGTGCATACCCAGTTACTTTTTTTAAAAAGAAGAGAAAAGAAAAATAAATTAAGAAATTAGAAATAAAGAAATAAGGAAAGAAAGAAGTAAGGAAAGAAAGAAAGAAAAAGGAAAGAAAAGGAAAAAGAAAAGGAGGTATGGACAAATCCTTGGCTGATAGCTTTCTCTTATTCTTCTTGACTCTTTTCAAACTCTAGCCTCCTGGTTGTTCAATACTCTTTCTAGTTTGTATAGGAAGGTCTTTGAGAAGTCATACAGAAAAAGCTGGAATTGTAAAGCATATTCAATGCCACAGATGAGCTTTTCTGCCCAGCCTGAAAGTCACCTGGGACGTTGCTGGAAGCCTACATGCATCTTCAGCATCCTGCTTGTATTTATTGAAAACCATTGCTTTTGGTCTAATACCTTTTAACTCATCATTTTCAGCACTGGATAAACTTTTAAAAATCAATCCTTTCTGCTGCTAATTCCTTGTTATCATTGCATCACCTGGCACTTGGATTTTATTTCAACTGACCCTGCAAGATTCACGACCACACTCACCTTTATGTAGTGCGTGGGCTGCCACCAAAGTTGAGCACAGCCATAAGATGCTCTTCATGTTTATCAACATCTTGCCCTGGAAATGAAGAGACACACAGAGTGAATCATGAGCATTTGGGCTGATGGCAAGTCATAAACCACGCACAGTGTGTGTGCTGCACATAGCAAGAGTGTACGAAGCAGCACCTCTTGGGTGGTAGAAACAGGAGGAAACTTGTAATAGGAAAAGTTTTCTCCACACTTTAATTATTAGTTGGAATCTCACCCAATGCAGAAGCTACCAAAATAATAGCAGAACTCAATTTGGGGACAAACAGCAGTGTGGACGTGTATGACAACCACCACTGGGTAGGCCGTAGGAGGAGCAACAGAGACCACAGCCCAATAACCATCAGCTAGGAGTGGGCCAAAAAGGGAAGGAGTGACCACAAAGTCTATTTATAAACAGAAGGCTGAGGCTGGACGTGGTGGCTCACACTTGTAATCTCTGCATTTTGGGAGGCCAAGACGAAAGGACTGCCTGAGCCCAGGAGTTTGAGACCTGCCTGGGCAACATAGCAAGACCTCATCTTGGAAGGGAAGGGAAAGGAAGAGAGGGAAGGGAAGAGGGAAGAATGAAAGATACAGAAGGCTGATCATGGAGGGAGCAAGAGAGGATGGGAACAACAGATAGAGATGCTGAAGGAAAGGCATCCGATCCACAAAGCTCAGGGAAGCTGAGGGAGAGAGGCTGTTGGGGCTTCACACACGTGGTCTCAAAACAGAGAAGCAGGACTTCGGCAGGATTTCAAAGCACAGACTCCATCTCATTTCTAGCTGGCTAGACAAACAAAGTACATGTATTTCAAGGAGCTGTTCATTACAAAAGTGGCCAGTACTTGCCATGAGTTTTAAAGCAGTTTCAACAGTTCCAAAGTCTCAAGAGGAAAGGATGAAAGAAAACACCCTGGATGGAGAGCCAAGAAGCCCTGCCCTGTTCCTGCCATTAACTTACAGCATTACTTGAAAATGATATTGAACAGTCTGCATCTCAGATGGTCCCTTCCAGTTCGCATTTCTATGAAGCTATAATCATGAGGAGGATTGGGGGTTCTAGAAATCAAAGAGGCGGCTTCAGAAGACTGGCAGGACAGTATTTGGTCTCCACACTTGTGCCCTTTTCCTTGACATCTGAACTGTTCTATCATCGCCATGTTGTCCTCCTTTCCAACAAACTCCAGTTCCATGCTAGTTTCTACCCTCAGCCGCTGACATTAAAGGAGTTTGGGTCAAACCCCAGCCCAAGGGCACAATTCCAATATTCTGTCAACTACAAGGTCTCATTCCCTCTGCCAACGATTGGTGTTGGAATGGTATACAATACCATTTTGGCCAGTAAGATGCAAGAGGCTCTCTCCCCCCACAGTGGGGCTAGGCAGAGAGTCCTGAAAAAAGACAGATTCATCTTGAAAACAAAGAAAGAAAGAAAGAAGTGGTGGCTTTTCTTCACTGGACAGTAACACTCTAGGACATTTCTCCTGAAGCTGTCATCAGGGTCCTGCATCCCCAAGCATGTGAGATGGCCTCTGAAATGAAGCAGGGTGAATCAGGAACAACAAGGCTTACATCCTTGAAGACTAGACCTAGAGTGGGCCATGCCTTTGAACATCTTTCCATATGAGATAATAAATGTCTTTCTTAGCTGGGTGTGGTGGTTCATGCCTATAATCCAGCACTTTGGGAGGCAGAGAAGAAAGGATTGTCTGAGCCCTGAGGTTCAAGACCAGCCTGGGCAACTTGGTAAAACCTCACCTCTACAACAAAATTTTAAAAATTAGCTGGGTATGGTAGTGTGTGCCTGTAATACCAGCTACTTGGAAGGATGAGGTGGAAGGATCACCTGAACCCAGCAGGTTGAGGCTGTAGTGGCCAGGGGCGTGCTACTGTATGTACTCCAGCCTAGGCAACAAAGTGAGACTTTAATTCAAAAAAAAACTTTATTGTTTAAACCCAATAAAATCAGAACGTTTGGTTAGTTACAGCGAAAACACCCTACCTGACACATATCTGAGCTGGTCCCTGAATAACTTCCTTATATTCTACTTAGAAAATGACTGAACTCTAGATTATTTAGGACACCAGACTGAAAAGAGTTAAATGCTATAAGAATCCAAGCCCAACTATGCTCAAGTTTAATTTAACTTATGATAACTATTTCTTTTGTCTTAATATTTTTCTGCATTTGATTTCTTTATTTTATATATTTTGAAATAAGGATAAATGGAGACTTTTTTGTTTGTTTGTTTGTTTTTTTTGTTTTTGAGTTGGAGTCTCACTCTGTCGCCCAGATTGGAGTGCAGTGGCCGCTCCCGGCCACCGCAGCCTCGACCTGCTGGGCTCCGGCGATCCTTCCGCCTCAGCCTTCCAAGCAGCTGGAATAACAGGCATGCGCTACCACGCCCGGCTGATTTTTTGATTTATTGTAGAGATGAGGTCTCGCTGCCCAGGCGGGTCTCGAACCCGCGGGCTCAGGCAATCCACTCACTTCAGCCTCCCAAAGGCGCGGGATTACAGGCTGAGCCACCGAGCCCGGCTCGAGACTTTTTAAAAAAATTATAAAAGTCTATAATTCTAGAAAGTTCCTGAAGAGCATTTTTAACCTAATACGTTATATATCTCACATTTTCCCTCTATAGGCCAATTGGTAATCACAATGAAAAGCATATAGTTGATAATTCTAAATTAAACTTAATATGATAATGAAGTATGTTACTTATCATATAATTATGGGACACGCTAATAAGTTTTATTAAACATTAACTGAGAAACGCCATACTTTTTCTACATTTCTGAATTTCTTATAAGATAGTACAGCAAGCAGGAAGGATACACCTATATCTCTATGCTATTACAGCATTTCAGGAAAAAATTAAGATATCTATTGCACAGCTAAAATAAAAATGAGGGATTTATCCTAAAACAGTATTAAAGAAAATGCATTCCATGAGTATTAACTGAATCCAAAAAAGAAACCTTTAATTGTACTTATAAACAATAATTTCCTACTTTCCTTTAAGAAAAACTATTCTCTAGCTTCTTCTTTTTATCAGGAAATCTTTATAAGTCTAATTTTAAATCTAGACTCCACTGTTAAGCAGTCTGAATTCAAGTCCTGCCTTCTCTACTTACATTTTGTGATTTAGAGTAAATTACTGTGTCTTCCTACCTCATTTTTATAGTTATTTAGTGAAAATGAGTACATTATTGAAATGACTGTGAGAATTGATAAAATAATGCACATAAAATATAGCTCACTGTGATACACAGTGTATTCAGTACTCAATATTTATTATTAAAATAATTAATTCAGGCCAAGTGAAGTGGCTCGTGCCTGTCATCCCAACACTAACGGAGATCCAGGTGGGAGGACTGCTTGAGGCCAGAAGTTCAAGACTAGCCTAGGCAACATAGTGAGACCACATCTCTATATTTTTTAAAAAAATTTTTAATTACTAACTCAGACTTTCTGTAGATGTTCTAATCCTGGTTTCATATCACTAGTAGTAAAAAGAAAAGTATTTTATGCTCTTGGATTTGAAAATTATAATGAATTGCCACTATAGTAGCAATGTATAGCTTTATGCTTAGAATAAGTTGTTCTATAACTTATTGCTGTGTACTTTGAATCACTTTTTGTAAACATGGTTTATCTCTTCTGTTGAACTGTAAACTTCTGGAAGGCAGAGCTGGTATCTTATCAATTTACTAAATCCCACAATATTCCTACAGTAGCAGGTTCAAATTAGACCCTTGAGGAATGTTCGTAGAACAGGTACATGGCCAAGGCCACCATTTCTTACTCAGAAAAACACTCTGAAGTGAAATGCCAACAATCCCTCAAGAATACAGGCAAATAGGGTTAATTAACACCCTTTTGAATCAGCCTGCTTGAACATTTAGCATGACCCAATAATATCTGATGTTGGTCAATTTCTAGAGTGTCAAATTTTTTAACAAAGCCAGAGAAAGTGTGATCCTGACTATGTGCAGTCAAATTTCTTACCCAAGACAGGTACTCAAAAACCTAACTCTTCATGCCACACTAATCCTTATAAATGTGTCTGTGGGAGCAGGGAGGAGCCCTGTCCCTCATCTGTACAAATATGACAAGAATACTCATCACTTGTCCTAAGACTAGGCCAGGAAAGAAGCCAGTGCATTGAAACTACCAGGAATAGGGTAAGTTGTAAGTACCTCTCAACAAGTTGCATAAATATGTTTGAATAAGTGACTCAAGTTAAAAATTAAAGAGTGTTTACACTAAGCCCCATATGTCTACCTTCTTTTGAAGAGTCAGAAGATTTAGTAATATTAGGTCCATCATCTGGCTGGCCCACCCAGAGCACTGACCAAGCAGCAGCCTCTCTTGGGTCTGTGAGACTAAGGTTATCCTGCCCTCACTTACCCTCTCACCCATTCCCACCCTGTGCCTGTGTCTGTAGGTACCTGAGTTCACAAGCCTTGAAGTAAAGGAGGATCACTGATCTCCTTAGTAAATGTCTCAGGGTGCTCCTACCTCCCTCCGCTGCCTCAGGACCATACTTCTCCCATTACCTCCTACTCGGAGTCCATGACATTCATCCCACGTCTCCAATTTTCTTCAGGCAGCGTCCCTGTCCTTGGTCACTAAGGTATACTATTTTCTTTCTATGTTGATCTGACTAAATGGAAAATGTTCAAAAGCCTCCTTCTTGATTTTTAGCACCCTCTGGCCCATATTTTCATTTTCTTGCCTTCCCATATCTGTCCTTTAAGCACTATCTGTCAGTGATAGCAAGCCTGTCTGCACAGAAAGTCCCCAGAGATATGAGACCTGGCGCCTGCATTTAGCCTTCTACCCCAAGAGCTCCATAAGAAGAAAGGAAAGTCATTGAGCCACCCAAGAGCAGCTGCCTGAGACCATTTCATTGCCTGGGAGACATCAGAGACAAGGTGGCCAGGACTCTTGTCCACGAGAAATGTCTGCAGAGAGGACAAGGACCCCGCCAAGATGGGTTGCCTGGGAGAGACAGCCAAGGCTCTATTAAACAG